GCGATCTATTTTGACGGCTCAATACCGTGGACAAAACTCCTTGGTCTGCGCAGGCAGAAGCGCCATCTATGGACCAAACTATTGGGTATCCACTGTTCATTCATTAATAGATCATTCAACCAGAAGTAACGTCTGAATTATTATTGCCCAAATTAGCTAGATAGGTCAAACGCCTGCGCATAATTTTATTGCTTTATTTATAAGGATATTCAGTTTAAAGTTGTGCTCGATTTGAGCGTGGAACTGAGTACTTAGTGTTACATGTTCGAAATATACTTTTTATTATAAGTTATAGTTATATTAGAAGTTAAAGGAGATTGCTCAAATTGGCCCAAATGCACAAAACATATTGACATACACGGTAATTCTTGGCGTGATTTATAATTTAATTTACAGTCATTAGATTTCAACGGACACCTTTGTATAATATATTTACTTTAAAAAGGACTTTTAATTTTACCTGTTTTAGTTTGGAAAACATACGAAAAAAATTTTTAATGGCTATGGGTGTAGTAACATTCAGCCAAAGACTGATCGAAGTTGTTTATATAACAAAAACAAATCTATTTTGTAAAGATCGATACAATAAATCATTTTTTTATTAACCACAACTATATTATCATTTTTACTAGATGCAAATGTGCTCAGACAATTATTATAGATGGTAGGCGACATCTCATAAAGTCTATTGTCATACATTTTTCGCCAAACACCTCCATAAACACTTTATAATCTGTATATATGTTAGACTTCAAGGTATCTATCTATGGGCCTGAGTTCCCTGACTATAAATTTAAAAAATAAATAAAATTATAAGATGTGATACACTAAAAATCTAAAATATGGTTATCTTAAAAACATAACAAAAATAATGAAGCTACTGAATATATGGCCATAGAACCTAAATCTCTTAGCTTTCTTTGGTTAACGAGAGCTTAAAAATTCTCTCTAATATGTGGCTCATTCACTATCATCACACAGTTTCTGTCACAGAGTAGGTACTCTGTGACAGAAACTGTGTAAATGTAACTGTGTAACTGCAAAATCAGGTGTCATTTCCGGTTATAATAAGGTTATTATAACCGGAAACGACACCTGATTTTAAAAGTTACTCTTATGTATTAACTTTAAAAACTGTTAATATACATGCTCTATATACCTGAATCTAATCCATAATTTCGGTACTTGGCTTGATTTCCCTAGTTTACTATATAACTTATTTGTTTTTTATTATTTTAACATGTTCAGTGTATATGGTTTCTCAGGGGTGTCCGTCAATAATATTCGTTTCTACAGTAATTTATATATAATTTCGAATCTAGGAAACAATTTTTCATGATTATTGGTCTTTAGGCCAAACATGTATGGAAGCTGAGCAATCTCCTTTGAGACAATCTAAGCTTCATCTACTCTGGATTACTTTATTGTTTATCTTTCTAATTTTTGGGGTTCCGTACCTCGAAAGGAAAAAACGGAACCCTGATTGGATCACTTTGTTGTCCGTCCGTCCATCTGTCAAGACCCTTTCTCCCAGGAACGCGTGGAGGTATCAAGCTGAAATTTATATCAAATGCTCAGGTCTACTGTCCCTTAGAGCTGCGAAAAAATCAAACATTTAATCCAACGCAATCCAAAGATACAGCCGTTTATGCTGCAAATTTTCGAAACTCACAAAGGTATCAAAACCTACAGGGTAATTCCCGTGAACTCAGAATCTTGAAATTTGGTACGAAGCAACGTCTTGTAGCACCGATAAAGGAAAAATTGCGAAAACCGTAAATGTACCTCCAGGTTTGTACAGAGCCTTCGGTGTGCGAAAACGCGTCCGAGTCACCAAGCCACCGATTTTCTGTTGGAAGGACCTTCTGGGGGCCATTCGCCTAACGGAAATGCTTTGGAAAACGCTAACGCTTTCGATTTTATTTTGTAATTTTTGATCGCCGAAGGTTTTCAAATACCTCACGCTCATTTTTTTTATTATTATTACCAATGCAAGAGAAAAAAGCGCGAGGCTTTTGAAAACCTCAGGCGGCTAGAAATAACAAAATGAAATCGTAAGCGTTAGCGTTTTCCAAAGCATTTCTGTTAGGCGAAAGGCTGTGAAGCTGCAGCGGTTTCGGAGAAGTTCGATAACAAACACTGTGGCACGAGATTTTTATTTAGACTAGCGGCCGCCCGCAACTTAGTCCGGGTTAACTTTATTTTTTTGAAGTCCCTCATCTCTTATCTATTAGACAAGTCCGTCCGTCCGTCCGTCCGTCTGTCTGTCTGTGGTGCTGTTTCAGCGGCCAAACCGTAAGAGATAGATAAAGAGAATGTTTAAGTTATAAGTTAAGAATAGTCTGATAAGACTACAAACCGGATTTGAGTAACGTAGCACTTCCGGTTTTCGAGAAATCACGAATTTCAAACGAAACCACACAAAATCTCCGAAGTTCTCAATTAATTAAATACTCTTTTTTTTAATTGGTGAACATTTGGTTCACTGGTTTGCTAGTAAACCTATAATTTTTTCGGAATAAAAAGTATCCTATGTCTAGGGATGCAAAGTCTTTTGAAATATCGATATTATATCGATATTTATATCGAAGTCAGGAAAATATCGATATCCGATATATCGACCATTTTAACTCGATATTATCGATATATCGATATTTTTTTCTTTTTTTTTATAAACATTAGAATACGGGGTAAGTGTGACACATTCATATGTTTGTTGGCGAGTTTCTCGCAAAATGCATTGAGCGAGCTTTTTCTTTAAACACGCTTGATGAAATCGCGCCAAGCAGGATTTTTTTTGGCTCGTACGGTTTGTGTTTCAGCCACGACAGGAAACCAAAAAATTAAAATTATTATCCTGATCAGATCACTCACATTTGTTAGCACGAATGCGCCAACCCGCATATGTGGGACGACATTTGCGAATGCCTTCGCTAAGTTTTCACTACATTCGTGCTTTTCCAAGCTATGTCGGTTTTTTAGCGCACATCAAATACGCAAATTGCTTAGTCTCCCACACATCAGGGGCGTGCCCATGGCTTCAGAATAGGGTAAGCCTAAAGCTTCAAAAATTACTATACCTATCTTACTTGCTTGACTTGGCGAGCTTAAAAATTTACGATTTGTATAAGATTCTTAATTTTATTTTGTGTTATATTACAATGATATTTAATTTCAATTAATCAGTAGTTGACAATTATCTAGAAAGAGAGGCAAGGATTTTATTTAAGTGCATGAGTTACCATTAGGTATACGATTATACCTATATACGTTGGTGTCGATTCAGGCATGATTATGTAAACTTAAAACTAAATTTAACATCAGTCTCTCCTTGTCATTCTGTATAGAGAATGACAAGGATACACTGTTGTCAAATTTAATTTTAGATTGAGAGAATCATGCCAGAATCCACACCAGTTTAGTATATTTCTTGGGGTTCAGGATTTTTTTAATACATCTATAAGCTCTAGCGATTTCAAAGCAATAGTTATTTCCATATTATTCAATTTAGATAGTTATAGCAGGTAAATTAATTGATATTATTGTGTTTAAATTTAGTCTACGAATAATATATATCGATATTTTGGTCTCGATATTATCGATATTATCGATATTCCGATATATCGTTGCAACCCTACCTATGTCTCAATCTAGGTACTACTAAACTATATGTGTGCCAAATAAATATCCAAATCCGTTCAGCCGTTTTTGTGTGATTGAATAACATAAATACAAACTTTCACATTTATTATATTAGCAGAATTTTAATCTACCAAATTTTATCAGCAATTAGTGCAACAGGCTTTAACATATAATATCGCATGTATTTTTATCTTGTTTAAAGAGAGAAAATCATAATTAGGTTTAATTTTACGAGTACTCGTCATATTTTATTTTAGTTGTCTGACAAACTGACATTTTATTATAGAATTTACTTACGGCCGCATTCAGAGACACCAGTTTACTTTTAGGCTTGAATAAGATTGATGCTGTCACATTCTCTGCGATATAAATTAAAGCATTATTTCAATTGATCAATTAGACCCAATTTAAGCAAGCAAATGTGACGTTGTTTAGTGAAATCCCAAGTTTATCTGTTTTCTATAGTCACTTTAAACTTTAATGCAAGGAAAAGAAATAAAAGGTAAAGGTCACTATTATTTGATTAAACTTTTTTTCATGATTTTTAACGTTTTGGACACTTGTCAGGCTATAGGGTAACAAAACTGGGGGCCATTCGCCTGACGGAAATGCTTTGGAAAACGCTAACGCTTTCGATTTTATTTTGTTATTTCTGACAGCCAAGGTTTTCAAATACCTCACGCTAATTTTTTTAAATGTTATTATTACCAATGCTAAAGAAAAAAAAGAGCGCGAGGCATTTGAAAACCTCAGGCGGCTAGAAATAACAAAATGAAATCGTAAGCGTTAGTGTTTTCCAAAGCGTTTCTGTTAGGCGAATGGCCCCCTGATATGATAAGTCGATCCAAAATGCCGGCCCGTATTGACGAGTTCTCTCATTTATCGGAAAATATCGTAATTACATAACAAAATATTAGAATAAACATTGAAGGTCCCATAGTCAGCTTTTAAAGCACCTATTATATATAATTTCGCTGATTTCCTATAAACTGCCACTTAAACGGTTAGAATGAATGTTATATTATTGTAATTATCTATACAGAAAGAAACGAGGGTTTATTGGTTCAGTACAGATCTTTAGCATCACAGAGTATGCTCTGGGTTTGGTCTTTATCTGCTACTTTTACAGAGAAACAATCCCCAAACTAGGCTTATAGTTTGCTATGTGGGTAAAGAAACTCGAAATTTAATAAGTAGGCAATCCGAGCAAATGGGAATAAATCTGCTGATTCCAGTATTCATTTTGAGAAAACTGCGAATTTGGGTACACTTTATATACAGAATTTGTGCACGTGACGGTTCCCAAGAAGGTAGTATACATACTACAGATTACTTTCTTTACTCCTCATAAGTAAAAATAGTATTGTACGGACTGTACGTGACTTTATTCGTCTGCTCCAGCTGTCTTCTCTATTGAAATTGTTACACTCACTGTAAGCGAGATCTCGCTAAATTTATTGTGTCCGCCGCTTAACAGTGATAAGACATTTTAGCGGACCAAACGAATTTGTCCCGTCAGTTCTCAGTGGCACATGATCTGTCGCGCTCAGCTGTCGCGTGTCGGTCGCGTTGTGTTCCGTCCGTGGTTCGTGCGACCCCATGCAATTGACACCACACCATGTCGAAAGTCAAGGTAACGTAATTGACACGGTCTCTTTGGCCCACAATCCCATGGGATTCGGGAACGTTGGATTGTGTCGTTTTGATGTAGGTAGATTTTAGTGCTAAAATTTTGTGATTTCAACTATGGGATTGTTGGTTACTTTTGTTTTGTTTAAAAGAAGTACTACCTATCTGATTTTGGATATATTTTGCTTTGAGATTTGTTGCAAAGTTTATTAATAACTTGTGTTTTATGTTATTTTGTGACTATGCGTAAAAGAACAAGAGTACTTGTTTATCAAGAAAAATATGTTTTTTATACTAATCGGAGGCGAACGTGTTGCAATATAAACAGTTTTATTTTAATTGAAGGATATTAGGTGTTATAATAATATGACCATAGACACGGTGATATAAGCCAACATCTTAAAATACTCAGGTAAATTATAATGGCGAATGGTGTGGGTATTTATTTAAAACAATAATGCAATAGGTAATAAGTTCGTTAAGTTATGAGTTCTTTTGGTCAATTATGAATGATTTTTTTTTCAATATGCAGTGTTTCAGTTTCTGTTTTCTGTTGACCATTTTCACGTAGTTTCACGTGAGAAAAAAAGTCTGTTAGACACTTCAACAACAATATGCCGGAAGTATGAAGGTACATACACAAGTAGGATATCTGCCACCGTTTTTTGCTAAGAATTAACTCCAAAAAGTGCTTTGACTGGTTAAATAAAACAAACAGCGAGCTTTACGGAATATAAGGACCATTTTCAATAAAAATATTTTTTGTTTTAAAAAACTAAATAGCTGTTTTTGTTATTGTTGTTGCTTGCTACATGGTCATTCGTAGTCATTAATTAAATTCAAATTTAAAAACTGGCCAAGTGCGTGTCGTGCCACGCACAGTATAGTGTTCCGTTGTTGCCTGTAGTTCCCACAATATACCTATTTGAGTAGGAGTCTTTATTTTCTGTATCAGAAATTCAAAACCAATTAATATCAATATATGTAAAATACCTATATCAAAATCAAAATGCGTCTTAAACTCAAAATCAATTCGATATATATATTTTTTAAATACGATCATTAAAGATGATGAATGATGACCGCCGATTTTTTTCCTTCCAAGCGTCCTCATGGATACCCTACAGCCGGCTGCAAGGTTATGTCAGACTCTTACTGACTAAAAGACACCCGTAGTTCATGTTTATGGCCAGAAGGGCCTTACAAGCTTCATCTGAAGCGATCATCCCCTGAGAAGAGGATGATGCGGTTTAACCGCCGATCTTTTCAAGTGCTTATATACTTTTTATATATATACTTATAATAAATCTGTAGAGAGGTCAATCCTGTACATGAAATATATTTTCAAAATAACTATCAGGGGGTGATTAGTGATCGATATTGATGCCAAAAATGCAATCAGTAAAATTTTTGTCTGTCTGTCTGTCTGTCTGTCTGTCTGTCTGTCTGTCTGTGTGTATGTTCCTTATAGAAACAAAAACTACTCAACGGATTTTAACGAAACTTGGTACAATTATTCTTCATACTCCTGGGCAGGTTATAGTATACTTTTCATCACGCTACAATTAATAGCAGCAGAGTAGTGAAGGGAAATGTTGGGAAAACGGGAGAAGTTAATCCATTTTTAAGCTTCCGTCGAGGGTGCAGCTTTAATGGTTAAAGTTACATAGAAATCATGTATGACGGAAATATTCTACATAAAATTGTCTAAAAAATATCCCGCAACAGCATATGTCTATCTTTTATGGTTGACTCACAATAACACGTGTAATTATATAAATAAAGTCATTCTTTATAGCACAAGCCTGAGAACAAAAAGTATAGTTTACATTACAGCTCTACACCGAAGCGAAGCGAGAGCGGGCCACTACGAGCCCTTACCGCCAAATTATCGTAAGCGACACTCGCCAAATTATCGTAAGCGACACTTTTGTCGAAATGCGTTTTTTGTGGAAACTAATATTTTTAACCGTAACGGACCCATCTCTTTTGATATTTCCCTCTATTCTTCCCTCTATTATATTGTAACGGTGTTCTTTTGGAGGGAAATATCAACAGAGATGGGTCCGTTACGGTTTAAAATATTAGTTTCCACAAAAAACGCATTTCGACAAAAGTGTCGCTTACGATAATTTGGCGAGTGTCGCTTACGATAATTTGGCGGTAAGGGCTCGACTAGTTAATAATAAAACGAACTTACCTGTCGCTTCGAATTGAGCAGCTCACATAATTATAATAGAACTTCATATACAAGTAAGTTCGTCTTATTGACGTGACAACGTCTTAAATTAGGTTGCGGCTGGGAATCACTTATGAAAAAGTGTAACGCTCGGTAACGTTACGATGAGTCTCTCGTGTTAAGTTTAAGTTTACATGTACAATGTTTTAGTAAACAAAATATATTTCTATAGTTAAAATTTGTGCAATTCTTATTTTCATTCAATTCCTTGTTCCTATTGTGCAATTTAATTATATTCATATCAATAAATATTCTACCGAGAAAAAGACGTTTCACGTAAAATCTTCGCCCGTAAAACCGACTTTACAGGCAACCATTTTTTTATTAATAATGTTTCGTTGCTCAATTAATTAACTTGTTGGAGAACGAACGAACGAACAATGTTTAGAAAACTGAAATCAGAATTGGTGTTTTATTCCATGAAATATAAAAAAAAGAAAAAACTTATATTCATTATCTGTCAAAGCTCCATAATCCGGGGTATTTATAGATATACTTAATTATGTACATGTAAATACAGTTATTTTGATTATTTGGATGAATTGTTTTTACTTCATGTGTGGATACAATTTTGGAACCTAATTTAATAATTAAGAGAGTACGTATACAAATGATATAATTATATCCACAAACAAAAGGGGTGTTTAAAGTTAGAAATGTTTGATTTATTGATAATTGTAATTATTTTAATTTCATTATACAATCAAACTACTATAATATACTAAAATGGAACTTTTACAGAGGTCTATGGTCAAGTGTCGTAAAATATTATTTATAAGTAATTAATTATTTTATTTGTGGATCAATGATGTAATACCAGTAGAAGCTTAATAAATACTTAAGTATTATCTAAGCAGAAAATAGAGCAAAAAATTACTATGACTGCAATCAATTTCTCTATTATACAATCTGGCACATAGAGATGAAAGTACCTACTTATGTTCCAACAGATTTTCTTAAATACTCAATACATTGATTCTAAAAAACTTCTTTTAGAAGTAAAAAACCTTAACCCTACGTTAAGTATATTTGACTAGTTGAGTATCTCTTTACTCCTTCGGATATTTTTGGCAAGTAACCACTCAGATATTTGATCTATATATTAACATATTAGTATATTTTATCAATTGAGACAATTCTTAACTATGGCCAATAAATAATACTCTGTCTGAATATTTCTAATAATAGAAGTCCTATTAATATTAATTATATAAAGTTATGAAAGCGACATGGCATCTTCCCATTATGATTTGGATGTTATAACTGAATCAGTTTGTATATTTTATTGACTGTTGTGATCAGAATTGAATAACATATTTTTAGTGCATTTTTTTATGTTGTTGTTTGATATATTATTATGACAATATTCTTTATAGTGTTTAAAGTTTAAATAATCATTTCGGGGTAGAATTTTCTGTTAAATTAATTGCTACTGCATATGTATCCCAATTACATGGTATTTATAAATCATCATAAAAATTGAACTTGGAATGTAAGATAAGTCTTCTATTTCTATTACCAAATTCTTAAAGACAAGTGACAAAATAATTTATCCCTATTTGGTTCTAAATTCACCTAATAATAAAAATTCTTTATCTTCTTTTTGACAAAATTCATATATTTGAGATGATATTGATATATGATGTGATGATTTGACGACCTCTGTGGCCAAGTGGTTTGTACGCCGGGTTTCAAGGTGTCGCCTCTCGAGAGGTCCCGGATTCGAATCCGGTGGCGGCAGATGTTTGTGTGATGAATACGAGCATTTGTACTCCAGTCATGGATGTTTAATATGTATTTCTATCTAAATATACTTATGTATTCTATCCGTTACCCTAGTATCCCATAACAACAAGCCTTACAGTGCTTACTTTGGGGCTAGGCTAATTGGTGTGAGTGTTGGAAATATTTATTATATTATTTATTTATATTATTTTTGAGTGTTAGGAGTTAGTTTAAACTAATAGCGATATTAATAAATCAATGTGTATCAATAAGCTTTTGTAAAAACAAGGAACCATGGAGCCAGCTCTATTCCAGTTTGACTGTCAACAATTATTTAATGATTTCAATTTTAATGTGAACAGAGAAATGTATAAAATTAAAAAATATTTCAATTTTACCTACATAACATATTACTACTACATAATTTGCATAAGAAAACCAAGCAAAATATCACATGTTGACTACTTGCAAATAGGTAAATATTGGGATTCAAGATTTGAAAAGTTTAAAGGTACAGGATGTTATTAGCACTTTTTATTCAAAAGCGTCATAAAAAGTGATGTTTAAAGATTTACTGAGACGGACCAGACCCCGACTGTATCTATAATCTCAAATTCTATAATCGCAGGTTCAGTGCATTTTGAGATGTATGTAATCTATGCTACAATAAGAGTAGGTAGGTAACCTATCACAATAGTAGGTAGTCTATATATTATATAAAACTCAAAGGTGACAGACTGACATAGTGATATATCAACGCACAGCCCAAACCACTGGACGGATCAGGCTGAAATTTGGCATGCAGGTAGATGTTATGACGTAGGCATCCGCTAAGAAACGATTTTGATCAATTCTACCCCCAAGGGGATAAAATAGGGAATGAAAGTTTGTATGAAACTTTGTCAATTTTAAACCGATCGGGCTGAGACTTTGCATGCAGGTATAAGAAGAATCATAGATGAATGTCATTGTGTATAATACAAGCCTGAGAACAAAAATTGTAGTCTACACTTCAGCTCTACACCGAAGCGAAGCGAGAG